ACCGTCAAGAAACGGATTCGTAATACTAGCATTCCCGCCCATTGTAAACATCGAATTTCCGATCATCAATTGCATATGGAGTCAACATGCCTATTGAATTCGTATTATCGCAGTTAACCACGACAAGATTGTTCAATAAAACACCCGAACTTGCTTTCGATAGATTTTGTTCCTGAAAAAATCAACACAATAATAATTGGAATAGGCACCCCGCAATCAAAAGGGGTGGTATTAGGGAATCTGACATACACAATTCGGTAATATCAATCTTAGATGTACGGCTTCATGTGCCCCACCTCCCCCATTTTTTTTTCTATTTTCGTTAGCGGAAATGTCCCAAATTAGTTTGTATTTCTCTAGCTGACCTGTTGAACATGGATACACTTTTGCATGGCGACGTTGCTATTGTTATTGGGATTTTCTAGTTCAATATCCGCGTTGGATGCAACAGGTTTTCACAACAATTGCAAGACGTCTTATCCCTGCATATCTCCCTCTCACCTATCACAATTACCCACCCCCCCCCCCCCCATTTTCTTAGTACCTTTGAAGTTGTTTGGTTAGTTTGTGTTTCTCAAAACAGGGAAAATGCAAAGCCTAGCGGCGATGTTAAGCTGGAAATGTTAGACAACTTTTTCAGAATTAAAAACAAAAATCCTGCAGCTAAAACCACCTATGAAAACTTGCATGAGTGTAGTAAGTGTTTGTCTCTGTGTATGTGTGAGTGTGTGTTATTTGTGGGCCATGTCCCAGGTGTCTATTCCTCTGTAGTAAAATAACAGAACTTTCTGGTTTGATGACTGTACTGTACACGACAGTTCAACTGTTGAACAGGGCTGCCAGTCAAACTGGTTAAAACATTATATTTCCATGGTAGGTATGTGTTTTTCTTTATATAATGACCGAAGAAGACCTCTCCGTTTTGGTACCAAATAGACGGGAGATGACAATAAATTTCACATTGCAGCGTTTGCACTCAAGTCAAAGGCCGACATGCATGGTGCCTGCAATAGTTGGCCGAAACATTTACACGATTCTAGACCACCAATTGCCTTTGAACTCTCAACGAAGACGATTGTGCTGGATATTCTCCCAACCAACAGTAATCAACGTTCCAAAGAAAATTCAGTCAAATTATGTGGCGATTTGCGTCGATGCTAAACCCTTGAGTGTGATTCGTGTGATTTTCACTGTTCTGCCTAAAGCGTAATTTTCCTGGGAAAATGTGTTAGCCAAAAAAAGAAGCACGAATTCACTTTAATGCATTTATGTTTCGCCCTCTTCACTGCTTCGATTTCCTTAATTTGAAATCGGAATCTCTTCTCGCCCTTCTGTGGGCCCCCATTCGTTGTTTGTCTCGCTGACTGTGAACAGTACTCTTGGTGGATTCACATCACACAACATTGATGGAATGGCTTAAACAACACCAGCATTGCATCCATGTCGATCTATCAACGGCCTTATATTCGTCACGTTGCTAATCCGAAGGATAACGTGACAGTTGGTTTGATGCTGATGCAGACCTAAATCGTCGTATACGATTATGGTCTTATGGGTTATGTCATAAATTATGAAATTACTAGAATGTCAAAATTCTGTCCGTAATTTACCTCACATTTCCGATCGTTGCCATAATGCCAAATTGAGCAATCTCATATAGTTAACCCGATGCTTACTATGGTCAAGTTTATTGAGATTGATTAATTCAGGGTCAAGCTGGATCAATGTTTGTGTGAAAGTAACTTTGGATTTTTAGTTGTATTTTTTTTAAGTTGTGACACGCACTTCGATTTTCAATAATTGTCCTCCTCTAATTCTCTCTCAAACATTCATTTGTATCTACACACAACGATTTTCACATAAACCATGGCCGAATGACAAGGGGTTACCCCGGTCAGACTAAATGACAAAATTTGTTTACATTTTGCAGAACAAATGTTTTGACAACTAATCAAGACGATCAGTGGCAGTAGCTATTGATTGTGCCATGACATGACCTATCAATTAGGTCATCTGATAAGAGTGCAATTGTGAATTAAATGTCACAATGTCTCATACGGAAATTGAAAGTTGTTGCTAGTTCTGTGTTCTGGTTACTCTTGGTCGGAAGGAGTCAGATTAGGCTGAGTTCTTGGAAATTCGTACTAGAACGGTACGAAAAGTATCAAAAGGTACTAAATATGGTACCCTTTGTATTTGAGGAAGCAGTAGACCTAGAACTCTTAAATTTGAAATGAGGGCCACTGAAGGAGTGTATGATAGATGTAACAAAGGGTTTTTGGAAATTTGCACTATAAGTGTACGAAAAGTACTATATTTGGTACCATTTCGTATAATGTGAAGCGTATTAGAGCCAAAAACTTGAATTTTGGAATTGGAATCAGGGATGAGGAGTAGAGTCGGTGCAAGTGGATAGTTTTGAAAGTGTATTCTCATGTATACGAAAAGTACAAAACCGTACTAAATTTTGTACAGTTTGAATTTGGAGGACCGGATTGAGCTAGAATCCTGAAATTTGAAATTAACATTACTTGCGGAGTGTTGTATTGGGATATGGTGGATGTTTTCGAAATTTGGGCACGAAAAATACTAAATTAGGTAAATTTCGTTTTTAATAACCGATGGAGCTGAACTGTTGGAATTTGGAAATAAGATTACTATTCCTTTGTAATATTGAAGTGTGTAGGTAGTACTTATATGTATCGAATGGTACTAAATTTCGTACAATTTTAATTTGGGTGAACCAATAGAGCTGGTATCCTGAAATTTGGATATAAGATTACTATCGGAGTGTAGGATTAGGATATAGAGGTAGTTTTGGAACTTTGTACTTAAATTGGGACTACATTTGGTACAATTTGTATTGGGACGAATTTTGGACTTGTGATTTCTTTGGGGTAGGTATTAAGTTTTCGAATTCATACTTCTATGTATTAAATGGTACTAAATTTGGAACAATTTGGATTTGGGTGAAACGATAGGGCTGCATGGGATTGTATGGTTGAGGTATGGAGGTAGTTTTGGAAATTTGTAGTGAGTGTAGGATTGAGGTATTAAGGAATTTTGGGAAATTCGTACTTATATGTACTGAATTTGGATTTAGGTGAACTGGACCGGAGTCTTAAAATTTTATATTAAAATCTCTGTTGATGTCTGTGGTTAAGATATGCAGATGGTTTTAAAAATGTGTACTATAATTGTTCGAAAAGGGTAAAGGGATATATATATATATAAAATTATATGTGTATATGTGTTTGAGATTTGACGGTGGTTGGAAAATGCGTTCTATATTTGAACGAAAAGTACTAATTGGTACTAAATTTGGTATTGTGTGATGAGATAAGGTAGGAATCATCAAATTTGATATTGAGGTCTATGTGGTATCCTGAATTGGGATAAGAAGGTGATTTTGGAAATGTGTACTATAATTGTACGAAAAGCATTTATTGGTACTAATTTTGGATCACGGTTGGTTTGTAGGATGGCATGTGTCCATTTCGAATTGGTTTCACTTATATCCTCCTCTGTAAACTTAAAAGATGAACATTTTCCTATTATTATTTCCGAAAAGGAAAACACAATTGAACAAATTGTGCATTTTCCATTAGTCTAATGAATTCTGATACCAATCAATCATAGAAAATAAAAACAACATTTCCTTGTTTTCTTTGACCCTTGCTAACAAAACGGCGGCATTTTATAAAAACACATGCATACAATTTATGGAATAGTTTCTTATAGAGCTTGTCAATATATTCTGGCGTGGCCTTCCATTGCATTTGTCAAACAGTAAGAATCGTTAAAGCACTTGGTAAAGAGTTTCAGTTTTTTTGTGGCAATATTGACTTGGTTAATTTCAGAGTTTAAAGAAGTTCTTAATAATAATAATATTAATAATAATAATAATAATAATAATAATAATAATAATAATAATAATAATAATAATAATAATAATAATAGTAATAATAATAATAATAATAATAATAATAATAATAATAATAATAATAATAATAATAATAATAATAATAATAATAATAATAATAATAACTATCATAATAATATTGTTTTTCAAATGAATTATTTTCCAGTTCCAAACACATGATAATAATAATAATAATAATAATAATAATAATAATAATAATAATAATAATAATAATAATAATAATAATAATAATAATAATAATAATAATAATAATAATATAATAATAATAATAACTATCATAATAATATTGTTTTTCAAATGAATTATTTTCCAGTTCCAAACACATGATAATAATAATAATAATAATAATAATAATAATAATAATAATAATAATAATAATAATCATAATAATAATAATAATAATAATAATAATAATAATAACTATCATAATAATATTGTTTTTCAAATGAATTATTTTCCAGTTCCAAACACATGATAATAATAATAATAATAATAATAATAATAATAATAATAATAATAATAATAATAATAATAATAATAACTATCATAATAATATTGTTTTTCAAATGAATTATTTTCCAGTTCCAAACACATGATAATAATAATAATAATAATAATAATAATAATAATAATAATAATAATAATAATAATAATAATAATAATAATAATAATAATAATAATAATAATAATAATAATAATAACTATCATAATAATATTGTTTTTCAAATGAATTATTTTCCAGTTCCAAACACATGATAATAATAATAATAATAATAATAATAATAATAATAATAATAATAATAATAATAATAATAATAATAATAATAATAATAATAATAATAATAATAATAATAATAATAATAATAATAATAATAAAAATTATAATAATAATAATAATAATAATAATAATAATAATTATCATAATAATAATAATAATCATAATAATAATAATAATAATAATATTGTTTTTCAAATGAATTATTTTCCAGTTCAAAACATTCACTTTTTTCCATCATTTCTCCTATTTTTTTTGTTCTATGCACATAGCTACGTGAGGAATAATCATGGTAACAGCTCCAATTAGAAATTCGGGGACCCTTTGCCCGAACGATGTTTGCCTGAAAATGTTGTGGGCGTGCTACTGCTACTCCCGCTGCTTTGGAATAGTTTACTACAGTTTTGAACGGCGTAAGATTGCCAACTCTAACGCAACAGCAAGTCATTGCGAACACAGGCAGAGTTTGTTCCTGCCATCAACACCTAAGATTTACCATACTAAATTCCGCGACAATATCCCACTGATAGCCTACGAAACGAAGTGGATGGCTTGGCTCAACATTATAAGTCGGATAATTTGTTGCTCATTATTTTTCTATGGCGCATTGAAAATGTGGAAGTTGGACGACTACTTTTACATATACGTCATGATTCAGGTTTTTTTCCTCACCGCATGTCCCCTGGTCGAGGCTTTGACTAATTTTCGCAACAGACGAGAATTTGTGTCCGCCATTAATGAGCTTTTAAAATTAATGCGTGAACTCGAAGAGTTGCAACCGAATTACAAACTATTTTGCTGGACTCACGTGGCCTTGCTGGGCCTGAAGCTGTCATCATTCGCCTACGAACTCGCCTGCATTGTACAGGAAATACACTTCACGCTCGACAACGGAGATTTCTATTCGATTTCGCTGCTGATTTTGGAGATGTATTTGATGGTTGCCGTCTGGCTGAGCCTGCATCTGATCAGCATTTTGTACATTTGTTCCGACGCGTTGTTTGGTGCCCTGAATCACTACATGAGGCACAATTTTATTCCACGGATCAAAGCCGTTGAAACACACATCATATGTTTGTCATCGCCCAGCTATGTGAATGGCCTATACATCGACCTGAGTGTCTTCTCGGATTTTATGATCCGCGTTCAACGAAATGCTCTGGACCTGCATAACCTATGTCAACTTCTGGTAGTGACCACTATTCTCTTCATTTACTGGGGCACTATTTGTGTAATCTACTACATGGTCTGGCAATATTATGAAGTCAATCTGATCCACAGTCGGTATATTTTCTTTATTTTGAAGCTGCTATTCGACATTGGCTTACTGTCCCTCACCGGCCACCGCGTAATTAGAGCTTCGCAATTAGTTCGATGTATGGGGTTGGAGAATGCCGCAATGACTGACGATAAGAAATGGAATAGGGAAGTAAGTTATTTGCCATTTAAACCTTTTGTACCTTAAACCAGGCTATGCCCGTTTTCTGTGGGAATTATTCAAAATTGGAAACAACAAGTGGTTCTCGTTAATTTGATATGTGTCCTCATTTTCAAAGTTACCTAAAAAACTCAACAGCCGAATGAATTGCTTGGATTTTCTTTCAAAAATGTGATACAAAATGTTTAATATTTCAATACCATGGCAAACAGTTAAACAAAAAAAAAACTTTAATGACCTCCCGGCAATGTACGTTTTTCAAAACAAAAAATACAAAAACACAAAACTGGCAAAAGGAGGGCACTCTCAGAAAAAATTGTACCTCCCTTTTTTGAGCAAAGAGTTATCTGATTTGTTTTTGTTCATTTTATTGAAACAGGATAAAAGATCAATGAAAAATTTAGTTTTGTCTGTTTTTTTTTTTTGCAGATTGAATTGTTCCTGCATCGGCTCAGCTTGAACGAATTTAAGTTAAATATTTTTGGCATGTTCGATGTCAGCAATGCATTGACTCTGGCATTCATTTCCGGAATTCTCACCTCGGTTAGTATATTTGTACCGTTCTCCATTAAAACCTACCGCATACAGCAGTTCCTAGAAAATCGGAGTTCAATGTGAGCTAAAAATGAAAATAAGGCACAGCACGGAGCACTTGCGTCGTCATGGTTAACCACAGACCGTGACTGGAAACAGGTGATTGCCATTGAATGTAAATTTGGTTCGAAAAGGACGTTAGCGTCGAACTTTCACCCTATATTAATGTATGTTAATGGGTTGCTGTAACGTTTATAAATAAAAACCCACAACTGTATTAAAACGTAACTAACCCTTTTTTCGTGTTTTAATTTGGTGGCAAATACCATAAAACCAGCTTTGTAGGAAAATTGCACTCTCCCCGAATAGTGGTTCCAATAAAGTTTCGGGTGAAATTGACTTGTCAGGTACATTTTCGCCCCGAAAAAAAATAGAAAAATTTGACCAGAATCCAAAAAATATATTTTCTAAATATCATCAGCGCTAATTTAAAAAGGACGAATTGAGACCATATCCTAATTTTGGATTTAAGAAATATTGAAGCGGTCCTGATCATGGGCTTTAGTTTAGACATGTCTTTGGTTAAAGTCCGGAGGTAGAATCCTCTACGAATTATATGTACCGAATTTTAAACAAATACCTTAGAAAATGTGACTTGAAAATCTGGGCCATTTTCTGTCAAGATTGCGTCTACATATTTAAATGATTTGATTGGTGGTCAGATCAAAAGTCATTTTTTATGGGGACTTGATGAAAATGTGAACTATTTCCATTGCCTCTCGCCTACATACGATGTCTGACATTTGGTATCTGAAGTGTGTTACAGCTTTGGGTTAGGTTAAATATCAAATCGGTTAGAACATATAAATGGAATATAAACCTATATCGACTTCGATTCCAACCAGACTGGAGGGAGATATTTGCAGGCTGCATGGCATGTATCACATGCCAAGAGATAATTACGGAGGTCTAAATGTCGGTTCGGTCGAAATTGAGAAATCCAATAACTGCTTCATACGCAAGCCAATGGAATATATTTTCGTGAATATGTTCAGATATACGGGAGCACCTATTGCGTAACAATAGCACATAAACGACCAAAGCTATTATCGTTGCATTTATTATTATATTATATCCTAAACTTTTCTATCTTTCGTTTTAAATCAGAAAACTGTACTCGTACACTTGAGAATACACCCATTGGAACTTCATCTGTTGCGTGGGAAGTCATAAGCAACTACAACTTCATCTAACGTGTTACGTTAGTGAGTCGACCCTCTCATTCGCCTAACACTGTTTCGAAGAACGTTAAGCCAGAAACTAAACAAAGCCCGACGGTTTGGTGTCAGTCCACAGCTATGCGTACGAACTCGTACAATGAACCTTTCTTCGGAGCCATAGACGGGCGAATGTTAACCTTGATTGCGTGCAATTAGTTGTCATGTTAATGAAGGTAACTGAATGTTGAAGCAGAAAAGTTGGTCATCGCTACAATTATAAACATATTGTAACTGAGCGAAAGAGTGTTCACCGCCTTAAGCAGCCACCACCCCTCCAGACACAACGGACACCGGTGTTCAACGAACCGCTTAGAAACGTGTGAGCAGTGAAAAGTTCCCACAATTAATATTTGGTTCTGATGCCTCTATGTTCCCTTGAAGGCCAAGTACAAGTGCAGTTGACGAAGTCGCTGCAGTGTAGACTAGTAGTTGCCATGCCGGGAAGTTGTTGTGGGGCAGAATTGAATGTGCGATTGTGGTCATAATGTAAAACACAATAACTGGAAACGATTTCATGAATAAATGTATGTACGCAATCGAGCGTCTTTGCTACCACATATGTTCATACATGTCTGTCTAGCATTTTTCAAAGCCAGTGAATTCTAACAATTCTTGACATTGCAAGCGAATGCTGAAGCGAAACAGTCAATAGTTGCTAAAGCGAAGAAACATCCAATAGTTGCAGAATTTTCAAATTTTCGTTCATAGTTCTACGAAAATTTGGCCAATGTTGCGAACGCCTACGTCACACAGACAAGCCTTGTTCTTTTGACAACTTATTCATGAAGGCAGTTGTTATGTCTTTTGTAATGGCAGGCTTGACAGCATTTAAAACTAGTATGAAAAGGCTAAAGGCAAAAGGTCGTACTACGGCCGACCATGTGATACCCTACAATATATTGCAATTGCATTGCATATTACTCGATTTTTTTAAATAATGCCATACAGTACTGCACAAATGTTACCTTTCGTGTTTTGACCGGGGCATTTTCCCTATACATATTTACCCCTCTATGTCGTGCTGATTAATATTCAAAATATTTTCACATATAAGTTGTTACCAGCTAAATATAATCCAATAGTCGTCCAAAACCCTGGACTTCTGCCCTGTTCTTAAGTCTCTCCTAGTGCAAAATTCCGTGTCGATTGGTTTTTAATTGTGTCCCGTAGAGTGACTGCAAAATTAGGAAAATGTTAATGTTTTGGTCCATTTCAACCCCTTACTTCTTCAAATTTTGATCCTAACCCTATCCCGATGCAAAATTTCGTGAGGAAGAAGATCGGAAGATAATTGCGGTCTGTATATAATACCCTCAAAACATAGTGTTGCGAGGTGTAGAAATTGCAAGTTAAATTTTGAAAAATCGCATGCGATAAAAAATTTTTGCCAAAAGTTGAAGAAAAATAAAAGAAGGTTATCTGTTTTATTGTCATAATTTTAGATTTTATACTTTTCTAACAAAGGACACCAAACCGAATCGTTAAGAAAGGTGAAAATCAGACCAGCGGTTCTTGACTTATAAACAGAATAACTAAGATTTACATTTTTAATATGTATATGTTGTAGCTATTTTGCCTCACCTTAATGATCAGAAGTGACCTTTAAATGTATTTGTGATTTGGTCGGGTAAAAAAAAAATATTTGCGGTCTAGTGGACATTTTCGTATTTTTTGACATAAAAGTTCTAGTTCATTTTACCCCCTAAATATTGTCCGTGACCGTCCAGCCCTAATTCCGCGTCTATTGGCTTATAATTTTGGCCCTTTCTCTTTTTGGTTCATTTCAACCCTTAAATATTTTGATCACGACGATCATTTGACGATCATCCCCAAAAACAATAGGCTTCTATCTAGCCCTATCCCAACCTCCATTTTGGCCCTTGGAAATTTTTCTGTTTTTGTTTCATTTCAACCCCTAAATATTTTGATCACGACGATTATCTCCAAAAACAATAGGCTTCTATCTGACCCTATCCCAACCTCCGCTTTCAGTCTCGTAAGGATCGGACCATAATGGCGACCTGTAGCGTGATTACAAATTAACATGAATAGACGGATGAACGGACATACATAGCTAGATCGACTCAGCTCGGCGAATTGGGAAGTTCCATGTGTAGTTTCCTATGTCGAGGATCAATATTTCGAGGTGTTACATAATTTTTGGCCCAATCAAACTTGTTATACCCCAACACATAGGGTATGTATGGTATAAAAAGTATTTGTTAATTTTATAAGCCTCACAATCGTTTGTGTGAGTAGTTTTGGATGACTACTTGCATTATACCATATGCCCTGGACGCTGTAATGATCGGATGTGGCTCCATAGGAATTACAATATATTCTTTTATCTATTCACCTAATCGCATTCCTGAGGACCGAATTTCGCTTGCTCATTATCAATTTCAAAACTAGCTCTGTGGCTAGCCCATAATTGTAATGACTTTACGAGATGGACGAAGGTACGCCTGACAGTGCCATTGAATTAAATAGCACAATATGTCACGACAAAATGGTCCAAATGTATTCAGTTCTTGTGGTGACAAACGTCAAAGGTATATGAGAGGTATTAGGATACCCCTTCCTAACATTATATAAGTATCTTATTTTCAACATACAAAAGAAAATAATAAGTTGTGCCATTTAGCAACACTTAAATCAGCGCTGCTCAAGAAAGAATATCTCTTTCCACTCAAATTCTCTTCGCTTATTTAAATCAAGAACAAAACGGATAAGATTTTTTATCTGCCTGCTTTATAAATAATTTTGGCAAACATTCATGTTTAAAAACATTTAAAGAGAGTCGAAAAATATAAAGAAAAACAAAATTTTATGTTTCTCTTAAATTATCTCTCTCGGTTTTGAGCAGGGCTGACTTAAATAAATACACGTATTTACATCTTGTGGCGGAATTCGTCGACTTTGTTAAATTGGCATTGGGTGAAGGCTTCGTACAGACCGCTTTGTATGATCCGGTGATGGACTGAGGGATAGGTACAACTGTAGGAAATCTGTTAAGGACGACTACCAATTTCCTGATTGCGATTTCAATTATTTCTTCCTCTTTCAAAAATTTAGTTTAAGCATCATTTGTATTTGTTATTCTGAAAATTTAGAACTCCCAATAAACGAATGCTATTTCAGTAAGCGACAGTGTATTTCGCATAGATAACCTACTAAGCCAACGTCGAATTTAGCAGCAACGTTTTGCTCCCATTGGCTAAGACGGAGACAAGGAAAGAAACCAAAAACATTCATAATCTGACGATTGTACCTTCAATCCGCAGAAAGTACGTTTGCACACACAACGTTGGCAATTTCAACATTAAGCTGGGCGTAGAACTAAAAAGAGGGCAACAGCCAAAATGAGCATCATTACTTCTATAATAATGGGAACAGCCGTCTACACATTTTCAGTTGTAATCAGATAGTGACTAATCAGCCTCATCACTGATTACCATAGAATTATAAATATATCCCTAATTACTCACTTCGAAGCAAAGAACGCGTAGCTACGGTAAATGATGAATACACAACTATTTTAGTTATGATCACATTTTAGAAGAAAAATAAGTACCTAAATTACGATGTTTTTTTTTTCAAATCAAATTGATTGAGGAAACCAACCCTTAAGTAGCATCACGCGAAAGAGTTCGGTCGTGTTCAACCCGAATATGTAACGATGAACCTAAAATATATATAATCTGCCCAATGCGAACTCAGTTGACATATGAAATTTGAGACAAAATGGTTTCCCACCAATCAGAACATTTTATTGGGAAACCATGACCTGCCATAACTTTTACTTTTTTTAATAGAAAAACGAAAAAATTTCAATCTTAAGCAAGACAAACACCATACAAGTGCAGAATATCACACTGGTTGTTTCTATCTCAGATTGGTTTTTATAAATTATTATCCAAAATTAAATTATCTAAATTTTTGTTAATGGCTTAAAAAGAGAGAAAAGGTGTAAAGAGGATAAAGAGCTTCATAAAAGAAGAAAGGAGGCTTGGGTTGGCTTAATTAAATTTCGGCCCATAATTTATGCTCGCTCACCCTAAGCTCCTTTGTTTCTTTACAATGGAGCTAACCGATGACTTAAGCCATTAAAAAACTCTTT